GCAGACAAAGTCTCCTGAGAAATTATTCTTACCATGTTATTAAGTGTGCTTATTTTCATCCAGTGAAGAGAGAGGTTACATTAGAACAATGAAAGAACTTGTACCTTCATATCCAATGGACTTTGATTAGACATGAGAACGAATCAGTATATTCATTAAATATCCCTGATTTGTCAGATATTCATTGCTTCATATTCTTGGGGTCCAGAGACCCCAACGAATATGAAGCAATCAATATAGCCATTTTATATTCGTCCCTTTGTTCCCTATCTGCTTATGCCCCAATGGATCAGCTGTTCCTCGGGAGCATAAGCAGAGATGAGTTTTCCCTTCAAGCAACTTTCTAATCCCATCCCCGGGACTGGGGGATGCCTTATTTCCCATTTCTTCCTCTTCCTATGCCAGCACGGCATAAGAAGAGGAGGGAAGGGATCAAAGAGGGATCAAAGGGATCCCACAGCTACTGTGGAATTGCTTTGATCCTTCCCCCCCTCCTCTTGCTAAGCCCCACAGAGTTTTGCAAGAGTAGGGGGAAAGCAGGGATCAAAAGCACTGCAGGATCGCTTTGATTGCAGCTTTTCCCCTCTTGCCAAGCCCCGCCAGGCTTAGCAAGAGGAGGGGGAAAGCAGCGATCCAAACGATCCTGCAGTGCTTTGATCCCTGCTTCCCCTCCTTGCCAAATCCTGTGGGGCATAGCAAGAGGATGGGGGGGGGGAAATGACCTGACGAATGGATTTGTCGTTCGTCAGGTCACAGGGGGGCAATTTGTGGGTCGTCAGTTTTGATGACCCACGAAGCAAAACAAAGTGCCACTTTGGCCCTTCATCCCTGTCTCTAACTTTAATACAATTGACATAGCTGTCTGATCTCATACTGAAATTAACCCTATGAGGGGAAAATGTCAGCTCTGATGGACCTCCCCGAGACTTGGACTATCAGAGGGTAAATTATATAGTGATCTGATACAGTGATCTGAGGACTTTGTTCAGTTGTCATACATTTGACCTTGACAAACCTGTAGTACTTATTCAGTTCTTTTGTAGGTTAATTTTTAGGTTATATTTAAGCCAAACTCTTGGTGACTTTGTACATAACTCTTCCTTGGGAGCATAAACAGAGAGGGGGTTTCCCTTCAGGTTGGGCTTAAATATAGCACCAGAGGAGCGAGATCTTCATAGCTGGAATGTGTCTATTCTGCGGAGTTCTACTACTTTAATACTACTTTGATTTCTCTGACTTGATTCTGTGGAATCCTGGGATTTAAAATTCACTGCTACAAAGCTCTATTACACTCCCTTGACCTATAGCTCAAGAGGAAGATATCAGTGGTTTGGGTTAACCCCACAAGGTTTGTAGAAGAACTAAACCAAACCAACATTTTCAGGGGGGTTGGGGGTATGAACAGACAGTAAAGAGACACAAAACCCCAAAAGAGCTTATTAAGGACTGAATATGCTCAGAGCCTATAAAATATACTAAATAGAAGGGTGGGATAATGAAGTGACTGGAGAAGGAGGGTGGAGGAAGAGATCCAAATATTTAAAAGACTTAAGAGACAATTGTTTACCAGCTTGGGTAGGTTGTTTCTTGGTGCACCCAAAAAAGTTTTTTAAAAAATGTCCGCTCAGATGAAGAGCAAACTGCTCATAGAAATCAATAGTGAAGTCACTGGTGCATACTCGAAAACAGCCGGACTAGGATTGATCATATTCAGTGGGCAGCGCTGTGGGGGGCAGAAAACTGGAGGAGGGGGGATAGAACAGAGTGTCTGCAAGCCTGAATAGAAATTATTTGCATACTGCAACCTCTTACGTTGCAGAGCCATGCTTGTAGAGATAGGATTTGTCACAGAAGTGACCACATGCATACAGATTATGATGTTCTCAAGTACTTAGTATTTTCCCCCTTTTCATCTGTCTTTAAACAGGTGTTGAGATGCATTAATAATCTGAACGAGGACCCTGCAATTCATGGATTTATAGTGCAGCTGCCCCTGGATTCCAACAAGCCAATTAACACTGAGAAAATAACCAATGCGGTGGCACCAGACAAGGACGTGGATGGGTAAGTTCCTAACTGTTGTAAGCAGTTCAGTAGCTTCAAAATAAAAACACAGTGACTTTTCTGTACAGGCAAACTATTGGCAAATAAGCTAGGTAGCTCCATGGGGGCCTTTTTAGCCAGATGTCTGTCGCAAGGCTGAGGGACGTGGTGGCGCTGCGGGTTAAACCGCAGAAGCCTCTGTGCTGCAAGGTCAGAAGACTAGCCGTCGTAAGATTGAATCCCCGCGATGGAGTGAGCGCCTGTCGCTTGTCCCAGCTCTTACCAACCTAGCCGTTCGAAAGCATGTAAAAATGCGAGTAGATAAATAGGTACCACCTCAGTGGGAAGGTAATGGCATTCCGTGTCTAGTCGCGCTGGCCACATGACCACAGAAACTGTCTAGGGACAAACGCTGGCTCTACGGCTTGGAGACGGGGATGAGCATCGCGCCCTAGAGTCAGACACGACTGGACTAAATGTCAAGGGGAACCTTGACCTATGTTGTAAGGATGTATTTTAAAATGTATTCCTAATCCCCCATTCTTCATTTGATTGTGTTTCCATTGTATTTCTATTGTTCCATTTGATCGCTGACCTCCTTAGATGACAGTTGTGGGACAAAGGCAGGATAAAGATGGAATAAGATACTGGGGTCTCTGGGAGGATGCAGGCTTTAGGGGAGAGGGAGGGGCTTACATGCAGATTCCTGTGAGCTGGGGAGGGAGTAGGGCTTCCTCAGACCCCTTACGGGCTGGATGGGGTACCCCTACCAGCCAGAATTGACCTGTAGGCGGGTGGTCCCTTTGTGATACTATAAACCTTCCGGCGAGTGAGCTGAAAATCTTCTAGCTTCGGTCAGGCTCAAGTGAGAAGCGCACAAGCAAGACTTTGGCTTCCGAAGAAGTTTCACATTCTCCTTAGCAGTTGGTCTTGGAGGAGATGTATCTTGCATTGGACTTGTTGGGTTGGGGGTGCAATGGGAGAACTGCAAAGTCCCACTGGGTTTTGGCCCCCTTCTTTCTGGTTGCTTTGGAAAATACACTCCCTCCTGAACACTAGGGCTCAGCTCATGCAGTTGGGTGTTTCTTCATGAAAGGAGACTGATGCATGGGTACTTGAAACAGAGTAAAGTTTATTTTTCTTTCATATATTTGTGAATCGCTTTGTTTTTTCTGCTTTTCTTTTCAGCTTGTGTCTGTTAGAGCTTTCAAGCTGGGACTGTCTCTCTTAATTTCTGAGCCGCTAAGTTTATCGTTTAGCTTTTATCTGTGAATAGGAGGGATAATGATGGGACGATTGCAAAGAGGTATTACCGCAAATCTCTGTAAATGATTTTTCTTGACCTGGGTGTTTATTTCATTTTGGAAGATATTGAGCCCAATGGGAGTTCAGAACCACATCCTAAGGCTCATCTGTGTATCGTACAGGAGCGAGATCGTACAGTCTCCTCCCGGCACAGCTGAATCTGCTGTTTTGTTTTGGACCGTTTCAGCTTGAGCAGCATCAACGCAGGGAAGCTTTCTCGGGGGGACCTTGGTGACTGTTTCATCCCATGTACACCAAAGGGATGCATGGAACTTATCAGGCAAACAGGTGAGCATGGAAAGAACAAGTGCAGTCTGGCATTTATGGAGTCTAAGTCATCCCTGGGGCACATTCCTGGGAAGAATTTTGATTTGGGTGCTTGGCAAAGAGATCCTAATATGGTGGAACCTGTTGGGCAAGGATCATAGGAAAGCCTCTTATTTTTCTTGCAGAGGATCCCAGGTTCCATCTTTGACATCCCCAGTAGGCTGTCAGTCAGTGTAGGCAGTACTTACAAGAAGCACTTCTAAGTTGTTGGCATAGGAAAAGAAAACTATCAGAACTTCATATCGATCCAATACAGGGTGGGCATCTCTGACGCAAGCCAAACATAATGGGGGTGGACCTTTCCTATTCTCTCCAATGTGCTGCCTTTGTACAGGGTTGTTCTGTTCTTGGCGGTTATGGCTGATAAACGGATAAATAGCTACTGAGTCAGTACACACAATAGCTACTGCACAGCTTGACGTGATTGGGCAGGAGCTCCTTTTCCTAGTCTGCCTCAGGCAGCACAACCTCTTGAGCCACCCCGTCTCTAGTCCTGTTTGTGTGACTCGGATAGCCACGCCCACAAATCAGGGGGAAACGATTTTTTGCAATTGACCTCCTTAGAAGCATCTGTGAGTGGTGCTTCTCCACTAAAACATCCAGTGACTTGTTTTAGTGCAGGGGGTTCCTTTAGGGGCAGAGATACTGCCTCCGTGGTTCCCCTCCTGCTCTGAAATTGGGGGGAAATTCAGGTTTTCTCTGATTTCAGGAGAAAGCAGAAAAAGACGTTTTCAGTAAAGATGTGGGCAGCAGTAGGTGTTGGGTGGTATCAAAAATTAACCTAGAGACTTGTTTTCAAACGCCAACCTCCGTTTCACTGTAACTCCAGCAGGACCCCCATTTCTGCTGGGGATTGGTTCCAAGCCCGAGCATGGATACGGAAAACTGCATAATGGCCAGGCAGGCAGGCAGGCAGACGGATAGACGGATGGATGGATGGATGGATGGATGGATGGATGGATGGATGGATGGATGGATAGCATGGTAAAAGGGGAAAAATCATTTTTATATGCATCACTAGAAATGTAATTTCTAGTAATGCATATAAAAATAATTTTCCGTTTTTCTAGCCACTAGAGGGCATCAGAGACAATGCTGTGTATTCTTCACTAATAAATATTTGTAGCATGGTCTCTGGCTCCTCTAGTGGACAGTTCTGGTAATACATGTAAAATACATTTTTAATGGATTTTTTCTTTTAATAGTTTTCATAGATTCAGACTATGTACCTCGCAAGACGATTACCCCGCAAAACCTTGCTATAGCGATCGCAAAACGATGTTTCCTATGGGGGAATTTCACTGGACGATGATTTGGTCCATGCTTCGTGCCCATCCCCAAAGGCTGGGATCAGAACTTGGAAATTTTACTTTTGGAGTAGCAGTGGGGCTACAAGTTCCAGAATCCATTCTGGGACTTACAGCCCCAAAGGGTACCTTTTGATAGTCTGAGTTGTAAGCAAAGAAGAGATTGGGATACAGAAATATTGCAGCTCCGAATGTGCACATTGTTTTTGAGCCTTGGATGCTTCAATCTGAGTTTTGTTTTTCAGGCATTCAGGTGGCAGGCAAAAGGGCCGTGGTGATTGGGCGGAGCAAAATAGTGGGGGCCCCTATGCACGATCTCCTCCTCTGGAACCATGCCACGGTGACCACATGCCATTCCAAGACTGCATCATTGGCAGAGGAGGTAAGGATGGAGGACTTAATTTCTGTTTTCTTTAACTTCTGCCATAGTCTTCTGGCCGTCGGAGTGCCGTTTTCCTGGTGCTGGCTTGTTTTTTTTTTAAATACAGAATATCTCCTTTTGAATGGATTGTTTCAAAGGAAAACAGGTGGCGTGCTGTGAACAGTGGTCCATCTCAATGGACTCAATATTAGCCAAGGTTTTTTAGGCCACTACCAAATATTAAACACCACAGTCATTATACTGTGCCTACGTTATCTTCCAGCTATATTTCCCTCCTTACTAGATCCATCTAAGCTCAAAGTTAACCAGAGAGCCTGAACTCATATCTGTTGTTCTTGCCGTCATCAATTATTGCCTGGGGTATTTCTCCCACCCTCGCCACTGTTTACAAAACCTCCTAGAAAGGAAGTGAATATCAAACCGGGGTTTTAAAAATCATTAGGTAAAGGTAAAGGTAAAGGTTCCCCTTGACAGTTTTTGTCCAGTCGTGTTCGACTCTAGTGGGCGGTGCTCATCCCCGTTTCCAAGCCATAGAGCCAGCGTTTTTGTCCGAAGACAATCTTCCAGATGTAAAATGTCACTCTTCTTAATTTTGGCTATGTATAATTTAACTGTCAAGCTGTTTCTGCTGTTTCTGTTCTGTGCCAGGTATTCCTATACCCTTTTACAGTACAAAGCTTCAACGGAAAAGAATATCCAACAGAAAATCATCAGCTGGCTGTGAAATACACATTTCACTCAAACAATTTCCAATCGCTGTCTCTATGATTTCGGTGCCATGTATAAACATTTGCCATGCAATCTCGCTTTTATGTCTGAGGAAGTGGATTTCATTCACTCAATAGTTCACATTAGAGATTGGAGATTCGTCTTCAATAGATGGAGACGAATCCTGCCGGCATAGGTGGCTGGCCTGATTAACTTCTACCCCCTGAACCCACCAGTCCACTTACTGTACGGTGTGTGGCCTGCATGGCCTGCATTTTTGTCAGCTTACAAATCACGGCAGTAGCCGGTTGCCGCAGCCCTGCCTCCCTGCTCGCCTGGCCACTCTGGCAAGAGTGCATGTCCTGCATGGCCTGCATTATTGTCAGCATACAGATCACGGCAGTAGCCCGGTTGCCGCAGCCCCGCCTCCCTACTCGCCTGGCCACTCTGGCAAGGGTGTGGGATGTCTCCTCGCTCAGCTGTAGAGTAGCCAGGCGAGCAGGGAGGCGGGGTTGCAGCAGTCACGCTGAGGCCATGATTGGCGCTCTGATGATGATCCTGGCCATGGGCATTGCTTGCTAAGTGGACTGGTGGGTTCGTATTTCGACATAAGACGTAACTCTGCCAGCTGTCTTTGCCAGTGGGATTCATCTTAGATGAAGATGAATCTTCCATCTCTGGTTTCCTTTAAAATAGGATTCCCCCTACTGCGGGATCAGTATCTGCGGATTCACTTATCCACTGGCTGAAAAAAACTCAATTAAAAGCCCCAGAAATACCTATTTATATGTATTTCTAGAGTACCATATATTTACCAGAACAGGCAACCACAGGGAGCTGGAGACCATGCAGTGTATAATATTTGATACTTCTGTGTTTTCTAGCATCCAGGGGGTGGAGGGGGTGGAACCACTTCCCCACAGTCCTACAGTGTAATAGTTAAACTTTAAGGTACCACAATAGTTTTTAAATTTTTAAATTTTACTTCTGATTTTTAATCCTATCTAAGCTGTTAGTGAGCAGCTCCTTCTCCGGCTGTTCAGACACGAAACGATGCCGGCGGCAGCAAACTATTGTCCCCACGAATGGATTTGGACTAAACTGACTATAGGCTGGCATTCTGCCAAAGGGACCTTAGGAACCCACAGACTGAAATAACCCTAGAGAAGACCGAACTTTAGCTGGATCAAAAAAAAAAAAGGAGTTTTGGGGTGTCCAACTCCACCTCTGAGAAGGAAGCTCGTCACCGCTCACACCAGCAGGTGTACATGCCTTGGCTGACTAACAGTTAATCAACGTGGCTGAATATGTCAATACTTCTGTTAATCAAGGGGAAGTCTTCAAAAGCTTCTTTCTCCCCCTTACATTAAAAAAAAATACAGAGAGGACCTACTTTTGCATTCTGTGGTTTGATTTTTTTGCAGGTCAGCAAAGCGGATATCCTGGTGGTTGCAGCAGGAAAAGCCGAGATGGTGAAAGGCGAATGGATTAAACCCGGTGCGGTAGTGATTGACTGTGGAATCAACCACATACCAGGTAATATTGAAAAGTGGCTTTCCAAATATATATATATAACATGTGCTGGGGCAAAGAGCAAGGTGACATGGACAGTATACCTTATTAGTATTTTCCAAGAATACCCTTAGGTCAGATCTGAGCATTTCCAAGAAGCTCTCCCAGTTCTTTTATGTTCACAACAACCCTGTGATATAGTCCAGTGTTGAGAATGGGTGACTGGCGCAAGGCTTTCAAAGTAGAGTACTGAAAAGTGGTTTACCCTTCTCTTTTTCTGGGGGTGTTCTAAGACTGTACAGCACCCCCAGTGCTTTAAGATTGTGCGGCTTATCCAAAGTCACCCAGGCTGGCTCTTCTCCCAGAAAGAAGGCTCCATGGGGGGAATCGAGCTCTCAGTTTCTGGCTCTGCAGCTAGATATCTAAACCACTGAGCTACCCAGCCAGTTAAAGCCATGTGTAACAGATTGCAAAAATGGCAACTCTGTTCAGATTGTGCGGCTTATCCAAAGTCACCCAGGCTGGCTCTTCTCCCAGAAAGAAGGCTCCATGGGGGGAATCGAGCTCTCAGTTTCTGGCTCTGCAGCTAGATATCTAAACCACTGAGCTACCCAGCCAGTTAAAGCCATGTGTAACAGATTGCAAAAATGGCAACTCTGTTCAGATATCTGGGCAGAAAAGGATGCTAAAATGAGAGTGATAATGCTTTGGCATATACAGTGGTGCCTCTCTTAGCGATGTTAATTCGTTCCACAAAAATCGCTGCAGAACGAAAACGTCGCTATGCGATATTAAAAAGCCCATAGAAACGCATTGAAACCCCTTCAGTGCATTCCTATGGGCTTAAAACTGACCATTGAGCAAAGATCCTCCATAGTGCTGCCATTTTCGGTGCCTCTAAAGCGAGGAATCCGTCCCAAAAAACAGTGGGCGGCCATGTTTTTTTCCCGGTGGCCATTTTGAAACCGCCGATCAGCTGTGCGAAAATGGGGGCTTTGCGATGATCATTTCCCTGCGATCATCGCAAAGCGAAAATACCCCATAGGGAACATCGCAAAGCGATCGCTTTTGTGA